GATGGAAGGAGGAGTTGGAGCGGGCATACACTGTACAGACGCCGAGATGAGGCTGTCGTATAAGCTACCAAGCCATTGCAGCATATTCCAGGCGAAAGTCTTCGCCATCAAGAAGGCGGCAGAGCTTGCGCAGGAAGTAGGCCGCCCATGTGAGGCGGTAAACATGTTCGTAGACAGTCAGGCGGCGATTAGATCCATGCAATCGTCAGCGGTCAGTTCCAAAAATGTACTGGCAAGCAAGGACGCACTAGATATCCTGAGCACGACAATGTCAGTGCGGATCTACTGGGTGCCCAGCCACCAGGGCATAGAAATCGCTGACGAACTGGCAAAGGAAGGAGTCGGACTGGCTATTGATAGGGCAGACGTACGAGCAAAAAGCAGGTGGAGAGGAAACTCTGCGACTTACATCTAAAATCATGTGCAAAGACCGCAATGACAAACTCAGCCACTACGTACTGCATCTATCCCAAAAAAACTGCAGTGGGAATGCTTAAGGGTCACTGCCTGGCTGCCGCGCATGCAGTCATGCTGGGCATCACCAACAACGGCAACTGCAGGAAATGTGATGAATCTGAGGCAACCGGAACCTTGGAGAATCTCATCTGTAAGTGCCCAGCCCTAACGCAGGCAAGAGTAAAGCACTTAGGTGCCCCAGTACTGGCATCACTAGTAGATGCCTCCAAGAGGTCGCCAGGTGAACTACTTGCCTTCGCGAAAACTACCGCGATCCTAAAGGATTTCAACACCGCGTAAGATTCTCCAGGACCATGTGAAAACAACAACTGGATAAATAAGGGCCGTACTGGCCTATGATTGACCCCCTCAGGAGGGCCATCCGGTTTAACCTAACCTAACCTAACCTTAAAAATATAATATTACGTTCATATTAATAGAATTCTATTCTTTAGATATTTTTCTAATTTCATTTAGAGGAATTCCACGTAGTTTCAACAGAAAAACGTAAAATAATTGCGGGAATTTTTTTTGTTTGTAGTCGGACTTTGTGTTAAAAAAATATCCCGAAAGGGAAACACCTTAGCACCGAACTCAACGTTCAATTCATTTACATGAATGCTGCGCTTACCGACTGGGTAACCCTAACATTTAGAGGGATTAAAATTAGATGTAGACCGATCCTCATACCAACTCAATACGCTTACAAAATTTCCTGAGAATCGGTCAAGCCGTTTTGGAGGAGTATGATAAGGAAATTATATATTCTCCCACAACCACTTCAATTCCGATATATTCTTTTCCTATGTCCAGTTCGAACTTAATCTCTAGTTCCATCTTAAAGGAAATCTTTGTAATTTAGAATCTTTAACGTGTTAAGCCAGTAAACCAGTATATTATATGTGCTGAGGCTGTTTGTCACTTCCTACTTAAGTTGTTTACCTTATCTTAAGAACCCTCAGAATTTTCACTTATTTGAAAGGAACCGCGCGCAAAAAAATAAATAAATAAATAAAATCTTTTGTTATTCCTTTCCACAAAAAATTTAGCAAATCGGATGGCAGTAACTATAGGGGGATCTCTAAGTTACCGGCAATCACTAAACTCTTCGAGAATGTAATCACTTCTCACTTGCAACGTTTATGCAGATCATCTTCATTTCTCCATGTCAGCATGGTTTTATGAGGAGAAGATCAACCACTACTAATCTTGTCGAACTTTACTTTACCTCATTTTTTATTATCGTATTATTTATATATCGTAACCTTTAAACCGATGCGATTTACACGGACTTAAGTAAAGCTTTCGACTCGGTTAATCATTCTCTTCTTGTACGAAAACCCGATAGGTTTTTGCTGATGATCTTTCTAAGTGAATTTCGATTTTCTGAGCGATAGGACTCAGGTTATGTTTAAAAATGCTCTATCCAATAGCCTATGTGTCAAACCTGACGTCCCACCAGGTAGCCCCTATGGTCGACTGCTGTTCTCATTGACTCACTCCTGATTGCCAATAACATGCTTAACGACGGCGCTTTCGAAATAATACCTCTTATTGACGATCTAGGTGTACGACTAGATCCTAAACTTTCGTTCTCCGAGCATATTTCTTGCATTGTTAAAAAGCCGCAGGAGTTCCGGGATTTATTAAAAGTTGTTCGAAGGAATTATATTATCCTTATGTAACTAAGACTCTTTTTACTTCGTTAGTTCGTCCTTCATTGGTGTATGGTTCCATAATTCGGAGTCGATAGTAACCGCATCTGTCCAAAAGAACTTTTTGCTGTTTGCCCTCCGAGGCTTAACATGGGATACTGACCTAAGAGTACCGTCTTACTCTAGTAGACTTCTCCTAATTAAATTACATTCCCTAGCTAACCGTAGGAAAATGTTTGGCGTCGTCCTTTTACACTATCTACTTGGTCAGCTCAACTTTCATGTTCCCAGACTAACATCTAGAATGTACATTCCCTTAGTAGTACATCACTAGGAGACGTTGAAGTAAACCCCTAAGGGTTTTGTGTACCGATTTCAATGGCCTCTTCGATAATATTGATGGCATAAAAAGCCTTCCTAAACTAAAAACTTTATTACTTGAAAAATTAGCTCGAAATTAATCCTGAATTTTCTCGTTCTATTAACTAAATTACCTATTACGTTCTATTACCTAAAACGCCAAAGTGCCGTTCGTTTGGTTGTGTTGGTTGGGCCCCTCGGTTGGTTGGGCGGGAGGTGAGCGTGGGACTCGTTCAAAAAAAAAAAAGGGCATGCGGCAATGCATTACAGTGCCCATTGCCCTGTCGGCGCTATCGTGGAGGGTTCAGCTTGAGGATTTTCGCCGACCACTGATCAAAAATAAATGTAATTTACAGGGTGGGAAATGTCTTCTTCACTGTCTTGCAAACTTATAACTGCAATTATAGTACCCTGCAAGGGTATAACAAAAATAGACCTAAGTAAACACCCGTTTATTAGAATTCTACAGATTAAAAACAAATTACAAAACAAAGTGGCTTGTAACAATTTTTTATTGTATTTTTTTAGTAAGTGTACATTATTCAACCAAAAATATTTATTTGTTTTAGTACAACTAATGTATGTATATTATATATGGGCATTTCCAGGATGGCGAACGGTACATTAGTACAACGTAAAATGGGAAAAATATAACTCAAATTAATATTTTTGCAAGGGTTTTTTTTTACCAGAATTATTTTTATTCTAAAAAGAAAGCTTTGGCGACTTGTCGTTTCTTTGACTCATTCTTGAAAATTTTCAAATATTCAAATTCTTATAGCTAACAAACGGAACGAGATACTAAAAATTAAAATGCAGTTTTTTTAAGTAGGAGTTAGGCATTTCTTAAGACACTATTATTTTTAAATACCCTTAGTTAACTTTTAAATCATGTCACAGCCTATTTCGTGCAAGAACTTTAAGTACACTAAAATTGTAATTTGTTAATCTTAAATAACTTTTTCATGTTGCAATCCATTGGAGAAGATATCAGCTTATATATTTATAACTTTTTGGCCTTTGGTTCATGAAGCAGAGCAAATTGGTCCTAAATCACTTCAAAAATTAAAAAACTAAACTTAATTTTGCTGAAATAGTCAACGTGAGCTCTATTACCGTCCTATATATCATCCAATGCTTCGATCGAGAAAATCTGTTAGTAGATAAAGGCCAAAATGCTCAGAATAAAACTTTACAGATTTGGAGAAACGACGAATTATACGCAAAAATTAATTAAAGTAATGAATTAATCGCCAAAATTGGGTACCAAAACTTACAGTAGATATTGAGCATGAAATGGGAAAAGGTGTCGTCCGCCGCGACTTGCGGAAACACAACTTTAATGGCCAAGTGCCCGCAAAAGGCCTTTTATTAGGCAGAAGAATCAGAAGCGCAGGCTTAAATTTTCCAATGACCATGTAACTCATCCGTTATCGATCTGGAATGATGTTATTTTCAGAGACAAGTCCAAGATCAACATTTTTGGCCAAAATTGGGACGGGTGGAATGCAGTATTCTTGGCGTCAACTAATTACAGAGCTGCACAATAAGAATCTAATACCTACGGTCAAGCATGGTGGCGATAGAATCATTGCTTGGGCATACATGGCGGTATCCGGAGTTGGAATCTTGACGTTAATCGAAGGAACAATGGACAAAGATAAGTACCTTCGATTGTTGAAGGATAACTTTGACCAGGACGCCAAGAAATTGGCCATAGAGAAAAGCTACCAATTTTACCAGAATAATGACCCGAAGCAAAAATCAGATTTTCTGCAGATCTGGATGCAATGGAACAGCCCTCACTTAATGGATACACCTGCCTAGCCTCCTGACCTTAACGTCATTGAGAATTTGCAGCCAATTTTGGATCTTGGTATTAGCCAGAGGTCGATACCCGACCAATATGCGCTCAAAACAGGCCTCTTGGAAGAATGGTCCAAGAATTCAAAATCAACAGAAAAAATAGTTTCTTTGATGGAAACTCGATTTAAGGATGTAATTAAGCAATATGGAGGCCACACAAAATATTATGTTTATTATTATAATTATTATTTAAGATCACGTTACTTGCACGAAATAAGCTGTGACATGAAAAAAGTCGGTATTTACTTTTTATTTTAGTTTTAAGCGATATCTAATGGTATTTAAAAATACTGAAGTGTCTTAATAAATAATTAACAAAACTGCATTTAAATTTTGTTTATATCTCTTACAGTTCGTTAAATATACGAGTTTGAATTTTAAGTGAACCTTTGCTCGAAATAAGCTGTGAGCCACTGTATATATAAGGCGAAAAGTACAATATTCAGATCGCTAAAGAACTGTCATCTGGCCACAATCACAAAAATGCTTTGTATCTTTTAATAACTAACAATAGGCTGTATTTGAGAATAAATTTTCAAACTTTAATTCCGACTGCTTATCAAGAAATGAGAAAAAGACAACTAATGGGATCGCGACTGATACACAAAAACAGTAAGTGATATAAACTACAAAAAATTCCGTTAAGTCAAAGCATTGTTAATCTCTTTTTATAGTTTCTTTTTAATTTATTGTTGCTACAAAAATCTGGATACAAAAATGTAATCAAAAAACGAATATTAAATAAATACGAAGGAGAATAAAAAGCCAGCACTTACACTCGCTACCTATGAGTTTCGTACCTGTGAGTTTCGGTTCAAATATTTTAAAATAAAAACATAAATATGCCGTAAGTTGATTATATTCTTCACAAGTTTATACTTTTAATTTAAGCATCCTGGTAGACCTTTTTTCGGGAAATGCCCATATATTAAACAGAAATAAATATGAGTAATTCGGTTAATCATTTTTGTTATATATTAAATTGGAGACATTGTCCGTTATTCCTTAGTTTTGAAGTCAATTTACATATATATGTAGTATATATATATTCTATGCATCCAAATTATTACCTGTGCAAGTAACATTAATGTAAGAAAATATAAATTACATTAAAAAATTTGTTTAATAAGTTCAGCTTTTATTACCCGACTGTAGAATTACGTCCTGCGATAGAATTTTACCAGTACCTGTCAAAGGATGGTTTAATTCTTTATTACAGTCTCCGACTTCTTCTTCTGGTTCAGAATTTCCTGTTGATAAAGATTAAAATAAATATATTATTCCTTTTTCTAATTTCCACGCAATCAATATATTGCAACTTTCCGAACGTCTCAGACATACCGCTGTTCTTTTGATATCCTTCTGTTGTGTTGGGACTCTCGTGCTCTGATTTATAAATACACTTCTGTACTATATCAGATCTGTGGATTTTGTATAGAGCTTTCGCTAGCATACTTCGTTCAGCGACGGTACCGCCATGTCGGTCCAACCACATCTGCAACATGATAATGCCTTGCCGGGCAAAATCCTCACCAGAGTACTCCGCTTTGACCAGCTCGATATCGGCTTCGGGTACATCCAATTCCATCGCTAATTGCGGCCAATCCTGTCCTATATATCGACATATGTCGATTAGGCGGAAATCGGCTGTAGCATTTTCGGTAAGTTTTTTATTCTTGCCACATTCTATTTTATTTTCGATAATCATTTCGTTTTTGCTAGTTGCAGTTTCTATCGTTTTATTATTACAATTATTTGGCTGATACTCTGTTTTTTTGAGTAATTTTATTTTGTTTAATGTTTCAATATAAAGATCCACACTGAGAGAACAAATTGGATTAAGTGGAGCTTCATCGGGCTTGGCCTTCGGCTCGCTCATAAAATTGATACGTCCGTGTGGCATTTCCGGATCTTTAATGTGGCCAATAAACGATAATCGATTCTCGCAGAAGGCTTCGAACTTGATACTCAGTTGCTCGCCTGTTTTTAAAACGGGAACAATGTTACCACTAAACTCTAGATAAATTATTTGATCTTGCAATACTTCGATGTTACGACTCTTGGCAATTTCTGTAAAGTATTCCTGCTGTTCTAGTGTCTTATCCTCTTTATCGTCCGTCATGCAAAACACCGAGAACTTGGCTTCCGTTTGGGAAATACGTTTGGCAAATACAACAAACTTGGCGATGAATGGAACCTTGGCTAGATGAGTGTATAGCTCAGTAGCCATTCGACTAGCATCGCTAATATTCCGACAGTCCATTAACCAAAATCTGGCTGACACAGTCGTCGTAAAGGTAATGCTGTCTTTGACGAAAGATAGCGGCGTAGATCCCGTGACATCTTCCCAAGCTGCTCGCGTCTGTCCGCCGGTTATGGAACACAACAGTCGTAGTGTTGGAGGATTGCCGGCATTTCCACCGGCAAAACACGCATTTACCATTCCGCTGGAAGATGCCTTCGGCGCTGGAATACTCAAAGTTATTGCTTTGTGAAATTTTCGACGACGTGGCTCCACTGTAACTACCGGTGAGACAGCAACACCTTGTCCCAAGAGCTTGGAACATCCAACCAGGTCAACTGGCTGTGCCTGAAGACCGACACGAATTTTCTTAGTCAAGGCGTGACGCGGAAATGTCGCTTGAACTTCAGGTACCGCCGTAGAGTAAACAGTTCCCCCATCCGGTCCAATGGCGTGCACCTCCTGCCGGACGCGTGAAACAACGGCAAAGAAGTGTGGAACATTCTGTGTTACAATGCGAACTATGCGATTAGTTGCCAAATCTTCTATCTGCCTGTCGATTGTATCGGTAATAATTTTATTCTCATCCTCGCTCTCGTACAAGTTGTGTTCGCGCCAACTCTCGCCGTTATCGGATCTGAGTATGATAATTTCGCGTTCATTTTCTCTAAGAGTGCCAAAGTGGGGTACTTCTAAGGTTATGGGGCTTTAAAATAAAGTTGTATTATAAATTTAAGTATTATTTAAAATAAAAAGAAAATATATAGCTTAATTTTTTGGTTAATTTCTGATGAACAAAGCATTATTAAAAAAATTGTTTAATTTGTTTTTTTCTTTCTACTTTCTCAAGTTGCCCCGATAATATGAAAACTGACAAACCTAGTCTTCATTGAAATGAAACAGGGGTGGTCAAAAGTATTTACACAAATTCTCAATTATTTTCACCGCCAAACTTTTTATAGTTATTATTCTTGTAGTTGTTGACCGGATATGCAGAAACAAGCAGAAAATGAAAACAAACAAGAAAGGAAGCACACTTTGGCACGCCAAAGTTTATATACCCTTGCAGATAGAACTTCAATTACTAGGAATCAATACAATAAATTATAGATATTTATGTTAAAAATCAATGAAGTAACATCTGTTTTTATTTCATTCACGTATACATATTATATTTACATTCACTAATTTGCATTTTTCCCTCATATCTAACGATCGTTCCTATGGGAGCTGTTCGGTTTGCCGCTTGTCCCATTGTGCGGGAGAGCGGCGTTCAGCCGATCGCTCGCTCGTTGCTGGTGCATACGAGGGAGAACGGAGGAGAAACAAAAAAAGAGCAGTCTGAATTGCTGAACACACGCCGCCGATCTAACGCTGTTATCTTTAATTATCTACACTCACGCTTTTGTATATATACCTAATTTAAATTATAAAGCTTGAATATATTCTCGCAGTGTTTGACATTGCTTGGGAACCCCTCATACAATGACCTCTTGTTAGCTATACAAGGGGACACAACTATACATGGTGGCCCATGAGTGAAAACTTTGAATTCGAAAATTTGGTGTATTGCGGCGAATTGCCTGAAAAGAAGACCACGTTACACAGGCACGGCAACGGCGGAATTTTCGAGATGCTCGTCTTCTGTGCTTATTCCCGGCCTCTCGAAGCACGGGAAAGGAATCGGCGATACATAGGCGCCGCAGCTGCAGGTCACGGAATTCTTCTTCTTTTTCTGTTTCGCTGCTTCTTGGGGATGGAATCTTGTATGCAAACGGAGTAAATGACCAAGTTGTGTGCGAGACAAGAATTTACCGAATTTTCTCATTACATTATTTTTTATTTTTGGGTTGGTGATATGCTCTAAGTCTGTTTGACGTTCGGCAGCATGAAATGTGATACGGAGGCTCCGACGTTGGAGCAGCTAAAAAATTTGCAGGCAAATCGTTACCAATCTCTTAAAACGGTTTTGCAGAATTTTAAGCAGTATTCGAGAAAAATCGAGAATTTATTTAAAGAAACGTCTGTAGCAAGTGGAAGAAATAAGGAACGCGTTTCGTGAGACGAGTTCTGTGATCGTGAATTTAGGAGGGTTTGCTGGCTCAAGCTATGCCGGGAAGAATTTCCTTTCGAGGAGCGCTTTATGGATGCCTATTGCGCCATCGCGGAGGACTTGGACAAACATGGACCCGAGACTCCTGCACCGCCGCCACCAACAGATGGGGACGCCGACCCGGTAGTGCGACTGAACATGCCACAGATAGCAGTTCACTGGTTCTCTGATGAGTGTGTGAGTTTGCCAGGATGTTATGACCCCTTCATGAGCCTTATACACAAGAACAATAATTTCAGTATTGTGCAATGGTTGCACTTTCTCAAAGAGTCGTTGCCACTAGGGCGCGATAATGACACAAGCTGCCCAAGGAGACCCATAACGCGTGGGAGCATCATTAAGAAAGGGGCGCCGCCTTTCCAACCTACAAGGAATTGGAATCATTTTTGAATGATCGCCTGGTCATAATGGATGCGATTGAGAACCGAAGCTCGTCGTACGACTCCAACAATGGCCCAGAATCTACCAACGAGTGCGAGTGCATAGTGCAGAGGAGCGCTTAAGATGGGCGAATAGCGCCTGTTATCACTGTGGTGGCGACCATATTATGCGTCGTTGCTTAACCTTTCTGGCCTTGGACTGCTATCGGAGGAAGGAAATAGTGAGCAGAGCGAAACTATGTAATAAATGTTTGAGCAATTCGCATGCTACACCAACAATAAGAGCTGCCAAGCCTATGGGCAGCGCCATTACACGCTGTTGCATTTCCCAGTAATGGCTCATAACCAACCGTTGAGCCACGCAATGACCCAGCCTTCAACGCCGCATCTTAGTGCAACAGCGGCCATGGAGGACATATCTTAGCAGATCTGGCGGTCAATGTCGGATCAAAACCCAAACGCATCTTACAGATGCCATTCGGCAACTTCTTTTGAGGTTGATTCAGCATACGTGCTCCCTTCGGTTACTTCCTGCCTGCCGAGTCGTAGCACGCCACTATGTAGTACGGTTGCCCCTTAAAACCTAGCTGGGCGCAGCCATAGTCCTAGGAAGACATCATCAAATGGCGCTTAATCGGACTTCTGTCGGGCAGTCCAGAACGGTACCCTCGGGCAAATAGCGCCGGCTGTGGGCAGTGAAAGCAGTTCAGTAAGGAATACTTCCACCAATATGCATGTAGACTCTTGTGTACTCCCACATCACGCTGTCCTTAAGAAGGAACCTCAGTCGATAAAACAACGAAACAACTAGCAACGGAAGGTCGTAAAACTACATTCTTCGCAGAGCAGTTTCTAGTCCACCAATCGATGACACGGCATTTCTGGAAGGCTTGGAGTCGAGACTGGCTAGCCCATCTGCAGCAGAAGCCCAAATGGTGTCAGGAGACTGAAGGCTTTCAGCTCAACGACCTTGTCCTTATCAAGGATGACAGACTTCCGCTGCAACAATGGCTACTGGGTCGTGTCGTCGAGTTGCACCCAGGGACGGATGCATTAGTCCGGGTTGTAACACTTAAAACCAAACAGGGTCAGTTAAAACGGTCAGTGTCGAAACTTTGTCCGCTGCCGATACGTTCTTAAGAGCTCTCACTTACGCACCTCAACCTTGATGAATTATTTCTTGCGTACCCTCTTACAATGACCCTGGAGCAGCAGGATCTATATGATATAGTATTCCGATTTTCATAAAATTTTACACAAAATTGTAAAGTCATATAAAATGGCTATATCTCAAATTTGATTAAATTCTGTTGAAAACTGAAAATTAAATATGGCAGCTATATGATATAGTCATCCGTTCCGGCCCGTTCCGGCCCGTTCCGGCATATATACGAGTGAGAGTATATAGAAGACTAACTCCAAAGTTTCATTTAGATAGTTTCAAAACTGAGAGACTTGTTTGCGAAAAAACATACAGACGGATAGACGGACAGACGGACATGACTCGCTCGACTCGGCTGTTGATGCTGACCAGGAATATATATACTTTATATGGTCGGAGGTGCGTCCTTCACTGCGTTGGAAACTTCTGACTTAAATTAGAATACCCTGCAAGGCTATAAAGATAACGGTTCATAGGACAATGCTGAAACCAAAAAAAATGTCTTTATTTTGGATATAGTTTAATAAACTCAATTCCAGCCAATTGAAAGCCTTCATAGATACCAAAACAAATTTTATTAAAGACCAAAACAAATTATGTGTGAATATTGCACTGTAGATGCATCTATTCTTTTAATTATAGAATTTTTCTATGAACCGTTAGCTTTCGAATTCCTTTTTGACTAGATCAATCTAAGCGATAAAGAAAATTTCAGGGAAATCAGTCAACAACAACAAGAATGACAACTAAAAGAAATTCGACTGTGAAAATGGTCGTTGTGTAAATTCTTTTGACCACCTACGCATATACAATTAAGGATAATATAAGAGCTAGAGAGGGAGAACATGCTCGGAAATATTAGTTTAGATGGATATATATTGAAAACATCGAAGCTATATCTTTTTTAAAAATGTTGTTAAATGATTAAATATCTATTACAGCTATGTATATGATATCTGGTATAGACGTTCGGATGACAAACATGCCTAGCTAAAAAAGATTTTTGATACTGATAAAAAAATTACATATGTACATACATATGTCTTATTCACAGACGGACAGACGGAAACTAAAATAACATTTTTTGATTTGGTATTTGGAATTTGGAAAAATGATCGTAAGAAACATCTAAACTAAACTAAATAAAATTTCGTTCTTATTTTTGGTAACTTGCAGACCCCTATATCTTAGGTCAGTATGAGTATGGAAAAAATATGAACGTAGTGAAACAGCAGATGAAATAAGAACGGCGCCATAGTTTATAGTGTAATAAAATAATTAAGCCTCTATATTGGTGTTATTGTAAAAGGTTTTTAAATTTTCTTACCTTAAAAATTTTCCCTCAACAGGTGTCATTTCCAAAATACGACTCACTAGAGCCTCCCCCTCCATTAGAGGCGGCGGATTGGCTATTCGTTGCGGTTTCACATAACGGCAAGTGATTCGGGTTGGTTCAGAACAGGCTTTTGGCGGCACAATAATTCTGACGCCACTATGACGATAGCCGCGCATCGAACCACCACGGGCGTCCACCAAAAACGAAACCAGAAATCTATATAAAAAAATATATTACCATAAGCATTAAATTTTGGTTTACCGAAGCTGAAGCTTACCCCAAATGTATTGGAGGACGAACAATGGGCACATTATCTAAATTTTTTCGGTTTTCCGAACCATTAAAGCTTTGCAATTGTAGCTGCATTGTTTCTATACAAAAAAAAAAGAATTGTTAGAAATTTGCACTTAGGGACCTAGCAAAATGTTTTATTAAACGATAATTAAATGATTAAATGATTGATTAAATGATTAAATGATTAAATGATTAAATGATTAAATGATTAAATGATTAAATGATTAAATGATTAAATGATTAAATGATTAAATGATTAAATGATTAAATGATTAAATGATTAAATGATTAAATGATTAAATGATTAAATGATTAAATGATTAAATGATTAAATGATTAAATGATTAAATGATTAAATGATTAAAATGATTAAATGATTAAATGATTAAATGATTAAATGATTAAATGATTAAATGATTAAATGATTAAATGATTAAATGATTAAATGATTAAATGATTAAATGATTAAATGATTAAATGATTAAATGATTAAATGATTAAATGATTAAATGATTAAATGATTAAATGATTAAATGATTAAATGATTAAATGATTAAATGATTAAATGATTAAATGATTAAATGATTAAATGATTAAATGATTAAATGATTAAATGATTAAATGATTAAATGATTAAATGATTAAATGATTAAATGATTAAATGATTAAATGATTAAATGATTAAATGATTAAATGATTAAATGATTAAATGATTAAATGATTAAATGATTAAATGATTAAATGATTAAATGATTAAATGATTAAATGATTAAATGATTAAATGATTAAATGATTAAATGATTAAATGATTAAATGATTAAAATGATTAAATGATTAAATGATTAAATGATTAAATATATGATTAAATGATTAATGATTAAATGATTAAATGATTAAATGATTAAATGATTAAATGATTAAATGATTAAATGATTAAATGATTAAATGATTAAATGATTAAATGATTAAATGATTAAATGATTAAATGATTAAATGATTAAATGATAAATGATTAAATGATTAAATGATTAAATGATTAAATGATTAAATGATTAAATGATTAAATGATTAAATGATTAAATGATTAAATGATTAAATGATTAAATGATTAAATGATTAAATGATTAAATGAAAATGATTAAATGATTAAATGATTAAATGATTAAATGATTAAATGATTAAATGATTAAATGATTAAATGATTAATGATTAAATGATTAAATGATTAAATGATTAAATAAAATGATTAAATGATTAAATGATTAAATGATTAAATGATTAAATGATTAAATGATTAAATGATTAAATGATTAAATGATTAAATGATTAAATGATTAAATGATTAAATGATTAAATGATTAAATGATTAAATGATTAAATGATTAAATGATTAAATGATTAAATGATTAAATGATTAAATGATTAAATGATTAAATGATTAAATGATTAAATGATTAAATGATTAAATGATTAAATGATTAAATGATAAATGATTAAATGATTAAATGATTAAATGATTAAATGATTAAATGATTAAATGATTAAATGATTAAATGATTAAATGATTAAATGATTAAATGATTAAATGATTAAATGATTAAATGATTAAATGATAAATGATTAAATGATTAAATGATTAAATGATTAAATGATTAAATGATTAAATGATTAAATGATTAAATGATTAAATGATTAAATGATTAAATGATTAAATGATTAAATGATTAAATGATTAAATGATTAAATGATTAAATGATTAAATGATTAAATGATTAAATGATTAAGACATTGATTAAATTATGAAAGTATTACCTTTTTCCAAATGTTCCGACGTGACATGATCGATTTGATCAGGATTAGTAGTATCAAAGTTTTGCTGGTCCGCCCCTCCACAATTAGCTCTCAGATCATCCGTTTCCATATATTTATAATGATTATGATCCAAAAAATCATCCCCTGCATCGTCATCCTCAGAATCGGATAATAATGTCTCATGCATTATCTCCGGTGATAATACCTTGAATTTTTCCTCAAATACACCAGTATTTATATCAACAACGGACGTTTTTGTGACAATTTTTAGAGTTTCCATTGCAGTCACATATCCCAAATTGCTGGCAATATCTAAAGCTGTCTTGCCGGTCTATTCCGAACATAATATGTAATAATAAAATTAATTAACAAATTAGTAATTTGAAATTACACATTATTTATCTAGGTTCCTAATCATTTTTGTATTTTAATCAAAGAATTAAAATGGGCTTTTATGGTTTCTTTAATAAGATTTCAATTTGATTTCTATTACATTGAATAAACAAGAAAAAAAGCTGAATTCGCCAAGCCGAAATTTTTATACCCTTGCAGATGAAAATTTGGTCATAACATTAAAACCGGAATTTCGTAAGAATCGGAATTTTTGAAGTGATGAAAATATGTTGAAAAATAAAGAAATTATAATTTCTTCTGTTGTATTTATCCGATGGTTACTAGAGCAGCTATATGAGTCGTCCGATCCGACTTATATACTAGTGAAATTATACAGAAAACTAACTGGAAAGTTTTATATAGATAGATAGCTTCAAAAATGAGAAACAAGTTTCCTAAGAAACGGACAGGTCAGACGGACTTGGCTAGATCGTCTAGACTGTTGATGCTTGCCATATACCACGTCAAAAATTACTCCTTCACTACAAGCAGTGTAACATCCGAATCGGGGGTTTCAAATATTAGTAAGTTATGTATGTTATGTATTTATTTAAAGCTGTAAAACTATGTGACTCAAAACACTGTCTGTCAATGCAGGGTAGGGTAATTCAATCAAACTCAATAATACTGTACAGGTAATAAAGTTTATCCACTTCTAGAATAATAGATTAGATTTCCCGTTTTACGTGTACTCATGCAGAAGTCTATTAGATATTTAAAGTGGAAACGTTACTATAAAGTTAACCCTCTAGAATGAGTAGTTTTTCAAGCTAAATTAATACTCACATTCGTTAAGGCTTCGGGATTAGCCTTGTGACGCAGCAAAAGATTAATAATCAGGACATGACCCTGCTGCGCCGCTTGATGCAATGGCGTGAAGCCAGTGTTAGTTGTAATTTCGATATCTGCATCATTTTCAAGTAAAAACTTTACCAAATTAAGATGGCCATAATGCGCGGCAATGTGTAATGGAGAATACCCATTTTTAGTACGCTGTGAAATCGGAGAGCCATAATCCAAGAGTAAACGTGTGACATGAACATGACCTTCCTGTGCGGCTAAATGCAGAGGTATTAGTCCATTTTTAGCCGCTGTACTCTTGGCACTATATTCAAGCAGAAGTTGAACCATATCAATGTATCCCTCTTGTGCCGCCAAATGCAATGGCGAAAACCCACTTCTGCTCATAGAGTCAACATCCGCTCCATTTTGTAACAATAATTGCGCAACTTCCATATTATTTTTTTTGGCAGCAATGTGTAGGGCACTTTGTCCATTTCTAGCACACAACTTGGCAGAGGCACCTTTCTTTAGGAGTAAACCCACGACCGCCTGATGGTTGTAGTGTGTAGCTACCAGCAAAGGTGATACTTCATTCTTACCGAGAGAATCTATGCTTGCTCCTTTGTCTAGTAAAAGTGATACGATCTTCTCTCTGCCATATTTACTTGCCAAGTGCAAGGGAGTAAAGCCTTTTTTGGTAACAGCATCGAGATGTGCTCCATTTTCAAGGAGCAGTTTGATTACCTCCTCATCCTGACCTTCTTTAGCTGCTATGTGGAGCGGAGTGTATTTATCTTTGGTCTCAGCATTAATCTGCGCACCATGCTGAAGTATGAGCATTATAATATTGATATTACCCAAGCGAGAGGCAACATGGAGCGGGGTCTGTCCCTCGCGGGCTATGGAATCCACTTGAGCGCCGTTCCGAAGAAGTATGCGTATGATGTCAGACTTGAAAAGCAAATTACAAAGATTATATATTTTATACAAGCCTACACTTATATATATATATTGATATGTTTTTTAACCCGGTACCAAAAGTTTACAAGCAAAGACATTACAGTCTATAAGATGACTTATGACCATACATTTGTTTTTGCAACATGAGTCAAATTTTTTAATCCAAACGACAATGGGGCTTCCCCTGCTTTCACAAATTTAAAAGCGTAAAAATCTAAAAATAGCGCTTTCTTGTATGAGTAAACACAAAAACAAGCAAGTGCGTATGTGTGCGTGAATATGTGTGTGCTCCTGTTCGTAAGCGCAGCGACGAAATTTGTACTGCTGACACCTTGTTAGGTAGCTAACCGAAGTTTATATACCTCTGCAGATAGAACTTCGATGACTAGTAATCAATACAATATAAATTAAATATATTTACGTTAAAAAAACAATGAAGTAATACCTGCTTTCATTTCATTCACCTATACATATTATATTTGCAGTTTTACATTCACAGATTTGCATTTTTGCATAGCACCTATATGATATGGTCGTCCGATTTTCAAAATCGACTCGGCTGTTGATCCTGATCAGGAATATATATACTTTATATGGTCGGAGGTGCCTCCTTCACTGCGTTGCAAACTTCTGACTGAAATTATAATACCCTGCAGGGGTATAAAAAGAAACGACAGTGTTACCTGGGGTATTCTATATTCTAACGCATGAATTTGGTTTTTTTTAATTTCCGATGATCCGACACTGAGTTATGATTGGCACCGCAATTCAACTTTTTTTCGAGACACGTCCGGACAATTGCTACCATTGCCATATTTTTTAATATTTCTTCATAAAATTTTTATTCGACATTCTTCGAATGTTATTCTTCAATGTACCATTTGTTGAATAAATACATTTTAACTGTGTCGTCGGGAAAAAAAAAATCACAAAAACATGGTAGTCGGTCTAGCTATGTCCGTCTGTCCGTTTCAACGCAAACTAGTCCCTCAGTTTTGAAGCTATCTGAATGAAACTTTGCAGTTAGTCTTCTATATACTCCCACTAGTATATAAATCGGTTCCGTTACAACAAAAATTATAACTTATTTTGTTTTCAACAGATTTTCATCAACTTTGAGCTTTATATTATATTTTATATTATTCTACAATCTAACTACTATATCATATAGCCATACAATCGATCGTTAGAGGAAAGTGGAAATCTGTGATTGTAAAACAGTAAATATAATAATTATAGGTGAACGAAATAAAAGCAGGCATTACTTCGTTTGTTTAAACATAAATGTACATAATTTATATCATATTAATTTCTAGTGATCGAATTTCTATCTGCAGAGGTATTTAAACCCCGGCGTGCTGAAGCTAAATTTCTTTCTTGTTAATATAAATGTATATTCTTTATACTGTAGTAATTATTAAAGATCGATGGTCAACTTTTATTTCCTCAATCGCCCCAAAACGCACCAAATTCAGATATTCTGATTATATCCATAAGGTCTCTATAAGTCAAATGACGATTTTTAAGCATTAATTCCTTCACATCATTGATGTGTTAATCATCTGTAGACGGAGATGTCAGTTTTTTAAATCTATTTGAACTGGGCGTCCCGCTGGAAAATACTTGGGTTTTTTTATTTAATTCCCAAACGTTTGGGTACCGGGTATTATTATTTTAATGCTTAAATACCTGGTTGGCTCGTGTTGCCAAATGGAGTGCTGTTTCGCCGCGTAATGTTGGTACATCCGGATTGGAATTATGTTGCAGTAAATATATTACTATATTCATGCAGCCTATTAGAATAATTCAGAGAGAGTTCAAAACATAAGGCTACTTCCATTAATAAAAATAAGAATAAACAAGTTTTAATAAATTACTAAATAGATACTACAAAGAAGTAGATACTTAGTAGAACATACCCATGAAGCTGGCAACATGCAGAGGCGTTAAACCCGATTCCGTGGTGGCACCAATATTAGCTTCATGCTTTATTAGCAATTCAACAATTTTTATCCTGTTTTTTTTGCACGCTATATGCAAGGGCGTAAAGCCATTAAGAGCTCTAGCATTTGGATTGGCACCATAATCCAGCAATAGCTTGGCCACCTTAACATGACCACAATGAGCTGCCACATGAAGAGCTGTTAGATAATCAATGGTTACTTCATCCACGGGAGCCTTGTTGTCCAGAAGAAGACGCGCTGCCTCATCGTGCTCCCCTTGGGCGGCCATATGGAGAGCGGATAACCCGTTCTTGGTCTTGGTTAATATTGGAGCTTTCTGACTCAAAAGCAACTCAATGACCTTAACATGACCAGAACGGGAGGCGCAATGGAGCGGTGTTAGCCCATCCCGCGTTGGTGCATCAATTTTTGCTCCTCTCGAGAGTAGTAGCCGACAAACCTGGTCTTTGCCCCATTTACAGGCCACGTGCAAAGGCGATATTTGATGTTTTGCCGCATAATTAACATCGGCAGAGTTATCCAAAAGCAGAGTGGCGATATCCACATTACCGTAATGAGCAGCAATATGCAAGGGAGTGAATCCAGACTTCGAGACAATATCAGCATTATCATTTTGTAGCAAAAGTATTGCAGCCTTTACATCGTTCTTTTTCGCTGCAATATGCAACGCCGGGAGTCGAACCTTACCGCGTATGTCGTTTTCGAGGAGAACAGCTACGATCTTATCATGACCCTGCTGCATGGCCACTGCCAAAGGGGTGAAGCCATCTTCCGTGGCCAGTAAAGGATTGGCGCCATTAGCCAGAAGAAGGCGACAGCAACTATCATGATTCTCCTGAGCTGCCATATACAATGGCGTAAAGCCATTTAAAGACTGAACATTTACATTAGCATTGGACAATAGAAGTTGCTGTATTACATCTTGTTGCCCCGCTAACGAAGCTATATGCAGGGCCGTATTTCCTTTTTTTGTAGCATTATCCACCTTGATACCACGTCTTAACAACTCACTGCATAAATCCACATAGCCATCTTTGGCAGCTAAGTGAAGGGCATTAAGACCATTCTGAAACAAGGTTATATCAGAAGACTATTAGAATATTATAAAAAGAGGAGAAACGGGGCTTTAAATTAAATTATATCCTTGCAAAATAATTTAATTTTTGTCAGAAATTTACAACGTGGAGAAACAGAAATAAAAAGTATATGTACATATATATATTTGATTAGCAACAACAACCAAATCGATCGATCTATGTCCGTTTGTCCGACGGTCTGTGGGTAGGGATATTAGTCTGTCAGTTTTGGAGTTATCTAAATGAAAATTTGCAGTTAGTTTTCTATATACTCTTCAACTATAAAAATTATCACAAATTTTTAGAAAAATTATTATAACTGCCAGTTTTCAACATATTTGTATTCAACCTAAAATGTTGCAATTTTGACCCATTTTTTAATTTGGGTTAAATTTTATAAAAATCGGACAACAATATTATATAGCTGTCATAAAAACCATCGCGAAAATACAAAAAAAAATTATAACTGCTGATTGTTAAAATATTTGTATTTTTCCTTAGAAATAGTCATTTTTTATTTTTTCAGATTTCCGGTTTTATTATTATCGGAAAACATTATAGAAAAAAAACTTTATTTGTAAAACTGTTAATAAAATATAAATAAGTGAGTCTAAACAAAGTTGTTTTTTTAATATAAATACGAGGTGTGTTCAAAAAGTAAGGTGACTTTACAAATTTTGCGGGCAACATATTTTCGATTATCGATTTTTATACCCTTGCAGGGTATTATAATTTCAGTAAGAAGTTTGCAACGCACTGAAGGAGGCACCTCCGACCATATAAAGTATATATATTCTTTATCGGTCTGTCCGTCTGTCCTTTTGTCCGCCTGTCCGTTTCTACGCTAACTAGTCTCTTAGTTTTGAAGCTATCTGAATGAAACTTTGTAGTTCGCCTTCTATATACTCTCACTCGTATATATGTCGGAACGGGCCGGATCGGACGACTATATCATGTAGCTGCCATAGGAATGATCGGATAATGTTTACAATAAAAAATTATAACATTTTCAGTTTTCAACAGAATTCGATCAAATTATTGATATAGCCATTTTATTATACTCTACAATTTTGTGTAAAATTTTATGAAAATCGGACTACTATATCATATAGCTCTCATAGGAACGATCGAGAAATTAATACAATAAAACATTACAACATTTTCAGTTTTCAACAGATTTTCATCAAATTTGAGGTATAGCCATTTTATATTAGTTTTAAATTTTGTGTCAAATCGATTGACGTAGAGGAAAAATGCAAATCTGTGAATGTAAAACTGCAAATATAATATGTATAGGTGAATGAAATGAAAGCAGGTATTAATTCATTGTTTTTTAACACAAATATATATTATTTATATTGTATGGATCCTAGTCATAGAAGTTCTATCTGCAAGGGTATATAAACTTCGGCGTGCCGAAGTTAGCTTCCTTTCTTGTTTTGTTTTGTTATGCTGGTACATTCTTTCCTAACATCTGTACCAAGTTTCAAGTGGATCCCCTTTTTTGTTTGGTTGTGAGAGGCGTAATGGTTACAAGTTGATTTGCATCAAATTTTGTGTAAAATATAAAATGAAGTGCTCCGAAACAGTTCTGAGTAAAAAAAATGTTTATAAGTGGTACAAACTCTTCCAATATGACCGGGAAGATGCCAATGACGAGCCTCGCTCTGGACGCCCAAGCACGTCAACAACTGATGAAAACGTTCAAGCTGTGAAGAAAATTGTTTTGGAAAATCGTCGAATCACTATCAGAGAAGTGGCTGAAGAAGTCGGTTATCGCTTGGCTCGTGCCATTAAATTTTTTCGAACGTTTTGGGCATGAGACGTGTGTCAGCGAAGTTTGTTCCGAAATTGCTGAATTTTGACCAAAAAAACCATCGCATGAGCATCGCTCAAGAGCTGTTGAATGACGTCAACGACGACTCAGATTTACTCAAAAGGGTCATAAGTGGTGACGAATCATGAGTATATGGTTATGATATCGAAACCAAAATTTTACGCAAATCCTTTGATCCATATTTTTCGATAGCAAAAAATCGCCGAGCACGCAAAACAATTTGTAACCATTACGCCTCTCACAACGAAACAAAAAAAGGGATCCACTCGAAACTTGGTACAGATGTTGGGGAAGAGTGTACAAACATAAGAAAACAAAAAAATCGATATCCGAAAATATGTTGCCCGCGAAATTTGAAGTCACCTTACTTTTTGAACACGCCTCGTAAATATTTTTGTATATTTAATTTTGTATTACTGATCGATATGTACCTCAGGGTTGCTGATATTTGGTTATTATATACGGTTTGCAATTTTTTTAAATGTGATCAAAATCAAAATAGGTTATATATTTATAAATATTATATACATATATCCAGTGAGTTTTTACCTTCACTTGACAAAAATTTGTAAACTGCAACTGTATATAAACTTCGGCATGACAAAGATGCGTTTTACACTCACCGCATTGGAACTGTTAATGTCCGTAATCTCCTTACTTTCTATAAAATCAAGCACCTTTCGAAGGTCTCCGCTGCGAGCAGCTCGCAGAAATGATATAGTGGCATCGTTCTATAATGGAAAATATATTAAAATATTATATAAGTACAAGCTGGTCCGGCGAACTTTGTTACACCCTAATTAATATTTTATATAACCCCATAGTGATAATTCAACGGAGATAACTACAATTTCTGTTATTTATTTGAATCTCATCAGACAGATGAGGATTTAATTTTTTATATAATTTTTCCGGCTCAAATAAACATAAAATTCGGCTTTCCAACTTGGGAACATAATATGTACAATCAGCATGAGATAAATAACTCGAAAGCCAAACCAACTAGGATTTGAGTCCGCTTAGTTAAACTGGAAAACCATTTAAGATTTAAGCATTAACCTCGTCGGCAGCTGAAGATTTTGGGGTTTGACGAAAATCTTCGGAGAGCACCAAATAATCTTGAAACACCTCTTAAATCTTCATCGATCGGTCTACTGGTTCCAAGGCAATTTTACAGTCTCCCATCAGTTTTGCTGTCGCCCAATTTTTGGTCATTGTGCACATAGGATTTTCAACCGAAAGAAGATTGAAAGGGAGCAGGAATGTGCAGTTTGACTGCTTTCTAACGATGTGACAGTAATGCAGCAATTTTGATCGGCACGTTCATCTTGTGTTTAATTATGTTACGAGGTCTAAAAGCCGACTTTATTAAAAAAAATAAACAATTCTCACAATAGAGCACTTGTACGTCGTCTAATGTTTTATCGCCTAATAGCAGCAATTAGGAGAGAAATAAATAATAGTTTAAAAAAAACTAAAAAACGCTTTTATAAGTAACCGAACTAAAAAGAAGAAAATAATTTATAATTACAAACAAAAAATTTATAAATTTAGAGCAATAGTATATAATTATAAACAAGATCACTAAATTCAGAGTTAAAAGCGTGGGGTAATGAAAAAATCGTTTAAGCCGTTCTCAACTTATTTGAGATTTCCAAAAATGTTCACAATTTTTTATATATATATATATATATATATTATTATATATTAATTATTATGTCGGAAAGGAACGGTTCGGACGACTATATTAAAAATCTGCCATAGAAACGATCGTTTAATGTAAAGGATAATGCAAGACTGAGTGTAAGCAGCAAGACTGTTACTGTAAAGCTGTAATGGAAAATTGCAAGGATACAGAAGCCTTAGCCTGCCTAAGTTAGCTTTCTTTCTTGTTAAAATTTGGATTTAAAGTTTTTTATAAGTACAAACAAAAATGGCGATGAAAACGCTCATTTTTGAGGCTGGTTGACTATTGACTATATGACGTACTATATGTACGTAAATATGTACATATGTATTTACACTTGCCTTTGAAACTGCTATCCAAAATCAAAATTTGCATATTTTAATTGATGACGTAATAGCCCAAATATTTCAGCATCACATATGCATACATATATGTATACACACAGGCCCGTAACACAAGTAAATCTTCGAATGGCATACAACATCTATATACATATGTATACACATAAAATCAATTAAACCTATTTCTAATTAAGTTGATAGATACACTAACAGGAAACGCCCACACACAAATGCACACATACACATATATACTAATTGTAAAAATGTATAGGTATCGTAATGGTATACATTTTAATTACCTGCTTTATATTATCATTAATTTGGTCGTTTACATGTACTCCATTATTAATTTCCCGAGCATTGTACTTTTCACTGGTTTTCGGAACCTCGCCAAGTGTCATGATTGTTTAGTCAAAGAGGTCTGAAAAATTGCCACAAACCAAATTAAATATACATATATTAGCAATGTGCACGCATAATTGTTCATTTTTATGACACACAGATACAAGTAGGATAAAACCCATTTACATTTGTGCAAGTGCCACAATATTTTCAAAATAAATATTTTGCACGAAATACATACATACATTTACACACATATGTATGTATATTTATGTAAATGTTTTTATGGTATCACATCCAACAAATGATCTCAATAGTAGAAATTCTTATTCCAAATTTATGACTACAATACAATTAGACTTAATATAATAACACACCAGACAAAACCCCACCGAACGCTCAATTTACACAGAAGTATGATAACATGGAATCATTTTTAAAATATATCGGTGCAACATATCGATAATTCTAAAATAAAGTTATCAACATAATTTTGCGAATAATTATTTATCAAGACGACGACTGTAGAGACTTGAGAAAGTTAATCTTACAATATTTACAAATTATTGTCAACATTAAAACATTAAATATAGTTTTTGTATTATTATTATTATTTTTGACATATGATCACGATTTGCTGTTAAACGCACAATTTCAAAATCGTGACAGTGACTCCCGATATTACGATACTTGCAAAGATGTACATCACTAATTTTTAATTGAGCTGGCAAAATAATGTAAACGTTTGGTGTTTATAACTAAAAAGACTATAAATCATGACGCAAGAGACAATAATATTAATATTATTAGTAATAGTTATGCTGGTTGGTTCCTATCTCGCTGGAAGTATACCTATGTTGATGAAATTAAGTGAGGTTTGTATCAGTGCATAAGAAATAAAATAAACATAAACGAAGTTTTATTAATTTAAAGGAAAAGTTAAAAAGTGTCACTATCCTCGGCGCTGGCCTGTTGGTGGGAACTGCTCTAACCGTTATTATACCAGAAGGTATTCGTTCATTATATACTATGGGCGCCGTCGAACACCAAGATTATTCACAAAAAATTGGGCTTTCCCTTGTGCTGGGTTTTGTCTTTATGATGCTAGTGGACGTATCACAGCGACGGAGTAGTATTGGAGGTGAAACTAAAAATGGTGCAACTACTTTAACGCTTGGATTGGTGGTTCATGCGGCAGGTATAAAATTTCGTGGTTTCTGATTTAATAGGATGGATTTTCCTTAAATATTTGTAACATGATAATAATTTCTCAATGTTCTATTTACTAACTTTTAGCTGACGGTATTGCCTTGGGTGCCGCGGCCACGACTAGCCATCAAGAAGTGGAAATAATTGTATTTTTGGCAATAATGCTTCACAAGGCACCTGCCGCCTTTGGTCTGGTAACTTTTCTGTTACATGAAAAAGTTGATCGACAAAAGATTAGACAGCATCTGGCAGTTTTTTCCTTATCGGCGCCATTGCTAGCGATTTTAACATTTTTTTGTATTGGCCAAGAGCAAAAAGAGACATTAAATTCAGTCAATGCAACGGGCATTGCCATGCTTTTTTCAGCTGGTACATTTTTATACGTGGCCACTGTGCATGTCCTACCTGAACTCACCCAAGGTGGTGGTGGACCTCGTCAGCATGATTATCGCTTATTAGAAGAATCACCGCGGGATATTGTTACTAGTGACAATACTGGTAGCAACAGTATACAAGCATTAAAATATAGCGAATTAGTTATAATGATTTGTGGTGCTTTGCTACCACTAATAATTACTTTTGGACATAAGCATTAAAATAATTTAAACATTTTATTAACTAAAACATTTTTAAGATAAGGGTTTATATGCAATAATGTACTTTTTTTAATAAATATACATATACCTTAATTTTTAAGAGAAAAATAGAATCAATAAACTCCTAGGTGCCAATAGTATCGTTAAAAAAGACGGCGAACAAACCAGAAATTGTTAAGCTAACTATTGTAAACAATATTTCACTTACAAATTTGTATGAACCAAAATTCCATTTTATTTCGGTCGTGAACCATCTTTATAAAAACAAAAATATTAAATAATTGTCTGAAATTTTTGTCAACAAACGTTGTAAGGATAAATAAATTAAAAAATAAATGTTATTATATAAATAAATGAGTAATTGGACGAGGACTCCTGAAATACATGGTTATAATTTATGTAACTGTTATTGTAGTATTAAGCTTTTCCAAAGATGGGCCTCCGCTAGAATGCATGCCAGTTTAAAACAAATATTATTCAAACACAAATCTCATAAAATTAGAAGCGCAACGTTTGACCTATTTATTGAACAAAAACGGTTTCACTTTAGTTGATTAACCAATATTTTTAACAGTTAATGTCACTGTTGCCAAATTACTTTTTTTCCCCGTCAAATCAGCAAAGAAGCGTAGACTGATCCATCAACACAACAAGAACTCCTGTAAAAATAATTTTAAAAATAGCTTATTTTGGTAACACTAAAACGAATTTCAGGAAACGGGATTAACAAAAACAAACTTCCCAACATATTTTCAAGAATGATTGGCACAGGATTATCCTATGAACATCAGAACTTAACAGCATAAGTTGATGAAATTATTAATATATATTAGAATTAATAATATAAGAAATATAAAAAATAAAATTTCATTGGACTAAAACCAACAAATACATATGTATGTATATGTTTTTAAAAATTGATTTTGTTTACCTTTTTCCCAGAATTTAAGTTTTTTTTATCGATCTTCCAGTCAAGGAAAAGCAACACTGACTTAGTGTGATCCCTTTGACTGCTTTTTCTTAAATTTCATAGTTCACAATCGTTCCCCAACAAAATATCTGGCAATTTCGTTTAAAATAATTTGGATTCGAATTTCGTCACTGTTTGTACTAGAATTAAAAAAATAATTCCTTATAATTAAATTTACATACATATATAGGTTTTATTGTTGTTTTTACCTATGTGGAAGAGATAGTGGCCAAAACAACAACTATATTAATTTTTTTATTTTGTTTCGGTTCTATTTTGAGTAGGAAAGGGCTGCGCTTTTCGCGTTATATCACGTATCTACCTACTTAATGATATCAATGCGTAGGTTCCACTTTACATTTCAAGTTGAAACGCTTTATAACTATCGATAGACTATACAATTTTTATGGACGTAAAAGAATATCGGTTTTAATAAGAGGAAGTACTTTCATGTATTCGAGGTTGCCTTTATTTTAGAGCAAAGACACATGAATAGTTAATTGAAGCGATTTTACGTTTGTTCGTGAGTGCGATGTGAGTACTCAACAAATGTTTACGGCCAGATCTAGTTAATTATAGTAGTTCTACTATTGTGTTAGCATTGTTCCGAAAACTCAATATACAAACACTAAAAAGAAAAGTATGTATGTGTATGTATACTACATGCGAATTTGGTTGCCAAACATAACCTAATTTTAGATATATTTTGGAAATGATTTAAACAAATTCCAGTTAATTATAATAAATCGTTTTTGATGTACTGATTTTCGTATATCTGGTTTTGTTATATTCGTGCATTGTGCATAAATAAGTGTTTTAAAGTTCTGTGTAAAAAATGCGTAAAAAAAAACAGTGTTGCCACGCTCTAAATTTTTTACATAATGACGTATGTACTATGTATGTATGGCAACTTTAACGACAAATTGATAATTATTTTCCTAAATTTTAAAATGAGTACTTGTGTAAACAATAAATACGAATATTCTTGGCTTACAATGTACATTATAGACAACACTTTTAAACACTTTCTTTGAAGTCCAGGTGGCATCACTGCAAGCAAAATCAAAGCTGTGTGTGTTTCGTTGAAAACACTAGTAACTTGTACCGTCCCCGTCGTTAAACGTACCGTCGGAACCTTTAAATTACATCGCAAATGTAATATTTTATATAAATTTGTATGCATTGCTAAGAAACATATTAAACATAAAATATTTGAAATTTGTCGTTTAAACTTAAAAATAAAAACGTATTGATTCCGTTATGTTTGTGTGTGTATGTCACGTCTGTTACCTACCTATACACACTGAAATCGTCTTAAGTGGCTTGGCCGTATATACATGTACATACATACAGGCAGGCGTAGAAAATAAGCAATTTTTAGTTTTGATACTAGGCACAAAAATGTGCAATTATTTTAAAAGCCAAATGTACCCTACTGTTAATTGTTATACATTTTATATCTAATGATTTTACCGTATTAAAAACACTTCGTTTTTATTGTTGTTGGTTCGGATCTCCATTTTGTATTTTTTTCTGGTCTTTGCTTGTATTTGTGTATGTGTATGTACATACGTATGTACATGTAGCAGCGACACGCAAATATACTAAGTTAACAGAAGAAAATTAACTTGTGTACATAGGTACATACATACATAGCCTTATACAGGAATGTATTTATATATATGTGTACAAATACAGACGTTTATAAGTGTAATAAACAATTTTGTTCATTTAGATTTTGGTAGATGCATTTACGAATAGTATGTTTAGTATGTTTACTGGCCATTACGATATGTACATATATGTATTTAAGTGTGTATATTTTACAAAGGAAAGGTAGAGTTAAAATAGGTTGATTGCGTCAATGACGCGACGCGGCCTGTGACCAGAGTTGTCAAATAAGCTCCTTATAAATACATAAGTGTACATACATACATACGTATGTACCGAAAATAGTTGTGTGTATGCCATGGTTCTTAAATAAATGTACACATGTACATTCATATGTACAGAGCGAATTATTCGTACATATCTTTCCAAATAATGTATACACCTTAATAGTCGGGATACTAAAAGACGTATTAAATAAATCCTGAAAAGTTCAAATAGTAAAAATCTAAGCATTTGATTTCTTATCCAGTTTATTTATTATTACTTTATTGATTGATCTTGCCTTTTATAATATTCTATTTATTTAAAAAACAGTAGTCAAGAAAGGGAGAAAACAAGCAAAAGGAACAAGATATATAAAACATTCTGATAGTTCGCTTTAAAAATTGCAATAATTGCCATCGATAATGACGTTTTCAACCTATTTAAGGCTGGAATAGTTGATGAAGCAAAAGAACAGCAGTTGAAGTTGGAGCATTTTAACACTATGCGCGAAGCACTATTTGCCCAAGATGGGTGGGGATGTCAGCATGTCAATCAGGATACAAATTGGGAAGTGCCCAGTTCACCGGAACCAACCAATAAGGATGCAAGCGGTGGACCGCCTATGTGGAAGCCCAGCATTAACAATGGTACCGACTTGTGGGAGTCGAATTTAAGAAATGGCGGTCAGCCAACGGCTCAGCAAGTTCCAAAGCCCTCATGGGGTCATACGCCATCGTCCAACTTGGGCGGAACTTGGGGTGAAGATGATGATGGAGCGGACAGTAGTAGTGTTTGGACGGGAGGGTCATCGGGGATCAATAACGTCGCCGGATCTGGACCGACAGTGGGCCAAGTCGTGAATCAAGGCGGCGGTAATGGTGGAGTAAATGTGGGACCCGGTGGTGTTGTTGTCTCATCTGGTGGACCACCACAGTGGGGACAAAATGTGATTGGCGTCGGAATTGGAGCAGCTGGTAAGATATCATTAAATACACTCATTCATTTATTTTTTATTACCATCATTAACAAACGAATAGGTCTAGATGCGCACATTTGATGTGCAGACTGTGACAAGTTCAACCCCCTAACCCTTTTTATCTTTTTCAGGTGCTAGTGGTTCTGGAAACCTATCAGGAACTCCAGGTGGAGTCGTTCCTGGGAGCGGTGGCAGCAATGCCACAAATACAGGCAACGGTTGGGGCGATCCTCGTGAAATTCGTCCACTGGCTGGAGGAGGTGGTGGAGGAAACAGCGCTGGCGCCGGTTCGATGGATATTCGCAGTGTGGTGGTGGATCATCGTGGCGGTAATGGCAGTGGAGGAGGAGGAGCATCTTCGAACGATCCACGCGATATTCGCATGATTGTTGATCCAATGCGAGATCCCATACGCGGTGATCCCCGAGGAATCTCTGGTCGTCTTAATGGCACATCCGAAATGTGGGGACACCATGCTCAAATCTCGCATAGCCAAAATATGCAGAACTTGAATAAAATGGCAGCTCCAACTGGAGTTGGAACCACTGGAGGAGGTCCTGGTCCTGGTCCCAATTCCGTATCTAACAATATAACCTCGCAGTGGGGTCCACCAACCCAGGGCGTTGGTGTTGTGAAAGACATATCGAAGCAGATTTCAGGATGGGAAGAGCCATCACCACCGCCACAAAGAAGAAGTATACCCAACTATGACGATGGTACCTCGTTGTGGGGACAACAGCAGCAAGGTCGTGTTGTCACCCCAGCTGCTGCCGGCGGTGGTGGTCATTGGAAGGATATGACGGATTCAATTGGTGGACGTGGCAGCCACTTAATGCGTGGCAATGTTCCAACAGTTGGAGCTAATCCCATGACCAGTGTTGTAGTTGGACCACAATCTCGATTAGCAGCACAACATAAACCGGATAGTAATATGTGGATGCAGAGCGGTGGTGTAAGGAATCCTTCAGGGGTAGTGACTAATACTTGGGGTGATGATGCCCATGGCGCAACCAGTAGTGTTTCCTCTGTCAACAATTGGTCGGATGAGAAGGCCAATCAATCTTGGAGCGATTGGGGAAGTAATAATAAGCCAAGCAAAGCATCTACATCCGGATGGAGCGGCGCCGGTGTTGGAACTATGGATGGTGTTGTGGAACTCGGCAACGATTGGAATCCACATGGGGTTAGTGGAATCATTGGCAAAACCCAACAACAGCAAAAGCTCGTTGGAATGGTTAATGTGATCAACTCTGATATGATTAAGCAAAGTAAACAGTATAGAATTCTCGTCGAGAATGGCTTCAAAAAAGAAGATGTCGAACGCGCATTAATCACAGCGAATATGAATATTGAGGAGGCAGCCGATATGTTGCGCATCGGAACATCCTCAACATCATCGTTGGCCATGGACGGGTGGCGGCGACAGCAGCAACACGATGACGGGCTTGTCGGATCCTCCTACTCCGACCACTCGGGCACAGCGACAGGAGGGAGTGGTGGAGGAGGCGGATTCGCTGGACGATATCCAGTTGTTGGCAGCGGAGGACAGCAGCCTTCAATAGGGTTTTCTCATGTAAGCACAATAAATGGCCTGCACCTGCAGATTTAGCCATAGTTCGATTTTTTCCTTTTGTTACTCTATATACCCTTTCAGGGTTTTATAATTTTAGTCGGAAGCTTCCAGCGCAGTGAAGAGACACTTCCGACTCTATAAAGTAGCTATATTCTTGATCAGCACTAACAGCCGAATCGATCTAGCCATGTCCGTCTGTCTGTTTCTATGCAAACTACTCTCTCAGCTTAAAAGCTATCTGAATGATACTTTTCCGTTCGTTTTTTGTATACTTTCACTCGTATATAAATTGGAACGGGTCGGATTGGACAGCTATTCCATATCGCTGTCATAGGAACGATCGAAAATTTGTTGAAATAATATAACTTCATTTTTTTAACATATTTTCATCTAATTTGAGCCATAGACACTTCATTATTATAGAATTTCTGTTTTAATCTTATACAATTCGTACAACCATAATATATAGAGGCCATAGGAACAATTAAGAAATTAATTAAAAAAAAAAAAATTATAACTCATAGTTTTGTAATAATTTTCATCTACTCAGGAGCTACATATATATTTTTTTTTATTCATAATTTATGAAAATTAGATATATCATATAGCTGAGGAAAATGCAAAACTATGAATGCAAAACTATAAATATAATATGTAAAGGAGACTGTACTTAAAAAAAGGCAATACTTCCTTAGTTTTTATCATAAATATATGTAATTTATATAGTATTATTAATGAGATCTATTAGCAATCTCCAAGGGTATACAATCTTCGGCGTGTCGAAGTTAGCTTCCTTTCATTTTTTTTTCGGATACATATTTTACCCAGAATATTTTTTTATTTTCTTGCAGAATAATCCAATGAATAATATGAGTAATACAGCTGTTACTAGCGGTGGCAATAACAATGCCAACAATATGACCGCCTTGCAAGTGCAAAAGTATTTAAATCAAGGTGGAGGACCACATGGCCCTCAACCGGTTGTTGGAAATGCGGTATCTTCGGTGGTATCTGTGGGATTTGGTGGCCAACAAAATACATCAAATGCAGCAGGAGTGGTCGGAGGAGCTGGAGTTGGAGTTGGCGTAGCAGCAGGGGCAGGCGTAGCTCCTGTTAATTTAACATCGGCAAATACAAACAATCAACAGCCGTCAGGACAGCAGATACGGATGTTAGGCCAGCAAATACAATTGGCCATTCACAGCGGGTTCATATCCAGTCAGATATTAACTCAGCCGCTAACACAAACAACATTGAATCTGTTGAACCAATTACTTAGCAATATTAAGGTAAGTTTAGGGGGAAAACTTAAAACAGCTGTACAAAAGTTTCTAACGGACTTCGATATAGAAGTCTCGTTACGATCACTGACTGTTCTGCATTCATTGCGAAGAAAGAGACAGGAGTCATATCCGACTCTATGAAGTATATATATTTTTGATCAGCATCAACAGCCGAGTCTATCTAGCCCTGTCCGTCCGTGTCCGTTTCAACCCTAACTAGACCCTCAGTTTTGAAGGTTTCTAAATGGCACTTTGCAGTTAGTCTTCTATATTGTCAGACTAGAATATAAGACTGAACGGGTCGGATCGGACGACTATATCAGAAAGCTGCCATAGGAATAATAAGGAAATTAATAGAAACAAGAAAGGCAGCTAACGTCGACACGCAAAAATTTGTATAACCCGGCAGATTGCAATTCGATAATAAAGAATATAATTATAATACAATAAAATGTATTAAATAAAGTATGTATAGGTGAATATAACCAAAGAAGGCATTACATTGATAAAAACATTTTTTATATTTGTGTGTATATAAACTATATTTACAGTTTTACAGTCACAGTTTTTCGTTTTCGTCTACAGTAAACGATCGTTCTATGGCAACTATTTGATATAATTATATAATTTATATTGTGTTATATTACTAATGATCGAATTGCAATCTGCAAGGCTATATAAACGTTGGTTTGCCGAAGTTAGCTTCCTTTCTTGTTAATATATATGTAAGTCGGAAAGAGCAGTACGACTATATCAAAAAGTTGCCAAGGAACAATAGGAAAATTAAAAAATAAAATAACAAGAAAGGAAGCTAACACGCCGAAGTTTATATACCCTTGCAGATAGAACTTCTATGAATAGGAATCCATACAATATAAATTATATATATTTGTGTTAAAAAACAATGAATACCTGCTTTCATTTCATTCACCTATACATATTATATTTGCAATTTTACATTCACTGATTTGCATTTTTCCTCAACATCAAACGATCGTTTGTATGGCACCTATATGATACAGTCGTCCGATTTTCATGAAATTTGACACAAAATTTAAGACTTAAATAAAATGGCTATACCTCAAATTTGAAAATGATTTGAAAATCAGCTGAAAACTGAAAAAGTTATAAATTTAATTGTATTAATTTCTCGATCGTTCCTATGGGAGCTATATGATATAGTAGTCCGATTTTCATAAAATTTCATAGAGTATAGTAAAATGGCTATATCTCAAATTTGAACCAATTCTATTGAAAACTGAAAAAGTTAACATTTTTTTTGTAAAAATTTTCCGATCGTTCCTAAGGCAGCTATAGGATATAGTCGTCCGATCCGGCCCGTTCCGACATATATACGAGTGAGAGTATATAGAAGGCTAACCACAAAGTTTCATTCAGATAGCTTCAAAACTGAGAGACTAGTTTGCTTAGAAACGGACAGGCGGACAGACGGGCAGACGGACAGAAGGACAGAAGGACAGACGGACAGACGGACATGGCTAGATCGACTCGGCTATTGATCCTGATCAAGAATATATATACTTTATATAAACGGAGGTGCCTCCTTCACTGCGTTGCAAACTTCTGACTGAAATTATTATACCCTGCAAGGGTATAAAAATGTATATCTTATTCAGTTTTCAACATATTAGAATTTCGGTTTGAAACTTATAAAAATATATAGTACTAATTATTGGTGATCGATTTGCAATCTGCAAGGGTACACAAACCTCGGCATTCCGAAGTTAGCTTCTTTTCATGTTTTAATTATATATTGTTTATTTATTTTATTAGCACCTTCAAGCTGCCCAGCAGTCGCTTGCTCGTGGCGGGAATGCAAATCCAATGGCGGTTAATGTGGCCATTTCCAAGTACAAGCAGCAAATTCAAAATTTACAAAACCAAATAAATGCACAACAGGCGGTGTATGTTAAGCAACAACAACAGCAGCAAAATATGCAACCAAATTCACAACAGCAGCAACAGCAACAACAACCGCAACAACATCCCCCGGCACATATGAATACTTCTAACAATGATTATCTTAGGGGTCACGACGCGATTAATAATTTGCAAAATAACTTTACCGAGCTCAATTTAAATAAGGCAAGTAAATAATTAATAATTTCATATTATTATTAAAATAATTGGAAATAATTTTATACAGTCATCTGGTGGCTACCAAGGTGCGTCCAATCAACAATCCCGTTTAAATCAGTGGAAGCTTCCAGTATTAGACAAGGATATCATAATAAATCCGGATAGTTCAGATTTTTCACGTGCTCCCGGTGCCACAAAGCAAAATTTGACAAGTAATTCAAGCAATGTTACCTCCTTGGGCTTACAAAATGATGGGTGAGTATGAACAAAATGGTTTAGATTGCATTATATTAAATACTTTATAAGAAATTCAAAAATCGGCGAGCTGAAAATCGAGTGAAAATAATCAATATAATGAATTACTTGCTAATTATTATTTTCTTTCTTAGTACTTGGTCAACTGGTCGCAACATAGCTGACGGTTGGCCCGATCCTACATCTGATAATGAGAATAAAGACTGGTCAGTAGTTGCTCATCAGCAGCCAAGTTCGGCAGCAGCAGCAGCAACTGCATACACCGATTTGGTACAAGAGTTTGAGCCGGGGAAACCTTGGAAGGTAATACTCAACACTTTTCAATAAATTCAAAGCATATCCCAAGCAGATGTTTGCTTTCTAAGGGTTCTCAGATTAAGAGCATAGAAGATGATCCCAGCATTACACCTGGTAGCGTGGCACGATCTCCCTTATCCATCAATCCGACGCCAAAAGATGCTGACAACATATTATTCACCAATACTACAACGACAGCTACAAGCAAAAACTCACCGACTGACTTGCCGCCATTAAGTTTATCGTCATCTACATGGAGTTTTAATCCAAATCAAAATTTTCCAAGGTAAAAAGTGATTTTTGATTTATTAATCTGCACAATTACACAATTATATTTGAAATCATAGTTGGTCGGACAACACTCAACAATGCGCTGCCACCTCAGAGCTTTGGACAAGCCCTTTAAATAAATCTTCGTCGCGGGGTCCGCCGCCCGGATTGACTGTCGCTGCAAATAAATCTGGCAACGGTGTCGGTAGCACATCGTCCACACCTTCTTCAACAGCAAATGGCTGGCTACAGCAGACCCCACGAAGTGGAGGTGGCCAAACAACAAATGCAACTTGGACTTCTTCTAGCGGCAATTCATCTGCATGGGGCTCCAGTTGGTTACTACTTAAAAATCTAACAGCTCAGGTATGGTTTGAAAACGTGTATAATATGTATAATGAATTTAAGTTATAGGGTCTTTTCACAGAGACCCATCTGCCTCCTATATCCGTTGAACGGATGGTTCATAAGGTTTTGCCGTTCCGAAATTTTGCATTTTGTTCCTTATCGGTTGTTCATTCAAATTTGATGGACTTGTTTTGCCGGTTCTTAGGCGAACTCTGAATTCTTCTAGGCTGTGAAAATTTGAGCATTCACTATGAAAATGTAAACAAAGATGGCAATGAACAATTGAAATATAGAAGGCTCCAAAGTTTAAGGTTTGTCAGAGAGTCTTGTCTGTGTTTTTCGAACGGGAAAATGGGACACGCTTGATGCAGGATCTTGACTGCATTTATTTATTGTATTCTTCTAGTTCCGATAACTAATTGCATATTATTTAAAACTAGACTACATTGCTCTTCAAAGCTATGAAGCCTTTCTTAAACCTTTTTCGTTACCTTTTTGTAATCATTCTAAAATATGTACATTTCAAATTATAAATTCCAAAAAGTACTTACAACATCTTCTAGAGGATCCTAATCTGTTACTGTAGTTTTATGTATCCTCTATTAAATAACTTGTTTTTAAACTTGTATGCAATGCCCTAGAAAATTTACAGCTCAATATAAACAACAACATCGCCATGACAAAACCGATCTTGGAAATTACTGATGTTGCCCTAGTTTGTCTTTTTGGCTCATGGTCGGTCAGCTTCTTTTTGTCAAAAGACTTTATTCTTTCCAAGAGACAAATTTTAGTAACGGGTCTTGTGATAAATCCTTCCTGCATCAGTCCCCTTATGGACTTTTTCACCTCTCCCAAAAGCCATCTCGGCCAATAATAACTCAATTTGCCCTTCGTATTAGGAACTTTCCATATCCATACATTTCTTTTTGAAAGTCGCAGATTATACGCTTTAATGGTATTTCATTGCGTTAACTCCAGCTTCCCAACCATAAGTTAAGAACTATTTTGGGCTGTTCAATAACAGAAAACATACAGCTTACGGCAGATTGTTGGCCCTATATTAAAATGAATATGGACGTTGATGCAGTACGGTCAGTACATTCAAGTGGCCCGTATGAAACCAGGGACGTGCCTGTTGGGTTAAGTGTTAGTAGGCGCGATAGGAAATATAGAAAACAGTAAGAGGAAATTATTACTGGCGCGCTACCAGATGAAAGCGAGGATTTGTTTTAGGCTTACGTTTAGTGTTAACAAAGTTATAAAAAAGTTTTGGGTCCTGTGAGAACTGGGCCCTTCAACGAGTTAAATAGTTTTTATAAAACTGCGCGTTCAGCACAGTAAAGTTTGACCGAGCTGATAAAAAAAGATGAAAGGGCAGATTAAGAACCGGTGAATTTAAATTTAGCATACAGCCTAGATTTTGTATTTTTAAGTCGGCTCAATTCTTTAGTAAACCACGGCGGTTTATTCGAGATTGGCGGATGGTAAAACTGAACACATTCAGTAAAAAATTAATTCATGGCATTCACGGCAACTGCCATGTCAGTGCACATAGATCGGACCAATTGAACTCATATATACCAATATTCAGCCGTTCAAAGTCCGTCTTGTGAAAACAGAACTTTTTTGGCTTGACAGTCAGATATATTCTGTAAGTCAGATCCAATATTAAGAAACACATCGAAAGTAGGATGATATGGATCTTCGGGCTGCGTCAGAGGCGCCACCCTTGCTAAATTGACTCTCGCAGGACCAGAGATGAATTTTGCACATGCTTGACTTGAGACAGCGAAATGTCGAACAAGCCAGCGATAAAGTCATGTTGTGTAGAAGCTAGGAGAGTATTGGTGGAATTATTTGAGCACCAAATAGCACCAGGGATATTAAAATCACCTAGGACTACCAACTGGTCTTTATCCAAAAGTCTACTGGAAACCATGTGAGCGGAAAGGTGATTCCAATAAATAGAAAGTTCCGAGAATGGAGGTATGTAGGAACATGTAATAAAAATGGGGCTACCTTTGATAGATGGATTCACACAGAGGAATTCAACATCGTTGCATTCCTCGAAAGTTAATAATTCTGACGTGAGTGAGGAGTCAACCGCTATAAGAACTCCATCCCCGCGCGATCTAGCCGATATCTCAGAATCTCCGGCTTTAACCAGGTTTCTGTGAGCACAATAACCTGAGAAGCAAACGAAAGGCTTTTAGAACACAAGTTAGGAAGCTTACTACGTAAGCCTCTTGCATTCTGCTAGGAAATACATAGGGAGTAGGTTAGCTTTTTGGGTCGAGATTGGAAGACGTAGAATGCGCAGTGGTATGATCAGGCCTGGGAAGAGTTATTCCTGCAGGGCGCTTTTTCTTTTTCTTCGCTTCGAATTCCTTAACAACAACGTATTCTGGCCAGAAGTTGGTAAAGCAAATAGTGTTAAAGAGTTCGTTAGGGACATTTGTTTTAAAAGATGAAATATCCCGGTATTCCCGGACTAACACCCTGGGCAGATATATCAGTATTCACGGGACTTTGAGGGGTCAATATTTGCGACACCTCAGGGGACAAAACGGCGGTGCGAGCACTCCTGCGGCACATTCGATCTCAGCACTCTTGGAATTAATGCTGAGGTCGAGGACTGTGAGGAAGGAGGCTGCTGCTGAGAGCCCGTTCCGGGTCCGTCTACATGCCCACCAATAGTGTTTTTTTTGCGCCTCGGAGACTCATTTAAAATTGGTGTCCAGCGCCAAGAATATTTCAAAAGTTTTACGAAAACTTGATAAAATGCCGATTTTTTCTTCACATCGTCCAACGTCCAACGTGCAACACCAATACACTTGGCGTGCATGATGTTGTAGCACAGCCAGGAGCTGATTGTAAAGTCCCCTGCAGAAAAGGCCTTTTTGCAGGTTTTGAGAAATAAACTCAATTAACTACACAAATTTGAATAGCTGCATGAACACGCGAAGTGAATGGGAAGTTAATAAACACAAGATCAACAAATCGAGAACTCAAGGAAAATTAGATTATACATTAGATGACAAGGATTTGGAAGTTCTCGAATGATTTTTCTCTAACAAAAAGTGTGCATTGTGGTATAGGCCACAAAATCTATTCAAAATAAAGCAGAAATGGGAAATATATAAAAAGTAGCAATTCGAGACAATTTAGGGCTAGAATATACCAGAAAACACTGGCATACTTCGAACTTTGGCTCCTTCCATAGTCCACTAGTTTTTTGTCATCTTTACATTTTCGTAGTAAATGGTCATTTCTAAATTTCACCGACAAGAAGGAGATTTCAGAGTTGCACCGAAATACTATCGTCAAAACAAGTCCATCAAATTCGGATGTAAAGCAGACGGAGAACAAGGCAGAGCTCGCAAAAACTGTCGACCGCTTTTCTTCTTGCGCTCTCGTTGCGAGCACAACCGAAAAAGTTCATACTGTCGTGCTCTTGCACTTAGCAGGAGACCTGCTGTCTTTATTAATTTGTATTAATGTTAAGCGCTTTTCGTTGAACTCTTTGTACATATGTCGCTCTTTTAATGAGCAGTGCGTAATAAGCGGAACGAGAAACACTCGCACAATGAGAGTCAGCAAATGACCGATTGACCAAAAAACTCAATGCAAACCGTGTTCGCATATATATTTCGTCTGCAAAACAGACACTACGATTTGCTTGTCTGAGCGAGTGAATGTGTATCAATACATACGCAAAAGGCCTTTTACTTCACTGTACACGACAAAACTGTTTTGGAACAACCGGAAAAAAACAGAACAGTAACAAACGGTTTCGTTTTGAGCGCGAGCGAGCTCATTCAAAAACACATAAATCGGTTGTTCTCTGAGCCTTTTCGCAAAGAGTCAGGAAAAGACACTTATTTCCAGGCAACGAGAAACAGTCAACACTTTTTTGCGAGCTCTGGTAATTTCAGAACGTTAAAACCATATGGACCATCCGTTCAACGGTTGGAGAAAGGCAACCATTTTTTTCAAATACCACTTTAAAACTGCATTTTGAAACTGAAATTATTGATCTTCATTTATTAGTAGGCGAAACAAGCCAAAATGGAACATTGTTGACGTCTTTGGTTTTTATCATTTCTTTTTTTTTAATAACAATATCTTGAACAATTACTAACTTTAAGATCTACAATTTTTCAGATTGATGGGCCCACATTACGTACATTGTGTATGCAGCATGGTCCCCTTATAAATTTTCATCTGTATCTAAGCCAAGGTATTGCCTTATGTAAATATGCAACGCGCGAAGAGGCCAACAAGGCGCAAATGGCTTTAAACAATTGTGTTCTGGCCAACACAACTATATTTGCCGAATCTCCAAGCGATAACGAAGTGCAGAACATAATGCAGCATTTACCACAACAACACGGATCTACTCCCTCGGTAAACTCGAGTGCTGGAAGTAATACAAGCACTTCGGCTCAATCAAATAGCAGTACCGTCACCACCAACGGAAATGGCAACAGCGGCAGTGGCAATGGCAATAGCAGTAACAGTGGAAACGGTGCTTCTGGGAGCAATGCGAACTCAAACTCTAGTGTGAGCAGTTCGAATCTACTTAATTCTACTGCTGGTGGAGGTGGAAATGTTTCAAATGTCTCAAGTGTAACCAGCACAGGTACGAGTTCGGTTAATGCAGCAAATAATGGCGGTGGAACGGTGGGAAGTGGAAATACCGTTTCTGGTTCAAAGAGTAGTGGAAACTCTTCTAGCAATGTAGGCAACAGCAGCAGCAGCAGCACAAATAATTCGCAATGGCGCCAAACTAGCCAAAATCAAGCAAGACCATCCGGCCGAGAAGCGGACTTTGATTATGTATCTCTTGTTTATTCCATTGTTGATGATTAAAATGATCATCTTTGACTATATCGCATTCTGTGACCATAAAACACAAACCCAACAAAAGCTTCAAAATGATTCAATAGTAAAGACCATGTTGTGAAGATGAAAAATATAATACATATATGTATGTATAAATATATGTACGTATATGTATTTATACATACATATAATATATAATATGGATCCGACTGATAGACGAAAATGGACTTAGAATTTTTTGTATGATGCCCGTAAATTTATTTTTCTTCATCGCGTTCATAGATATTTAAAACAAAACTTGTATCTGTGTAAGTTAACATTTAATCAAAGATATATATATATATAAAAAACTTTAAAGCAAGCAAGCATAACCTTCCTATTTAAGTAAAAGTGATTGGACTCTTGATTCTTAAAATGGAAATATAGAAATTCTCGGCAAGGTATAAAATATAATGTCTGTGCATTAAAAACTCATATAATGTACGCATCTTGACATTATATATACTTCTTAATGCATATGTGTGTTATATGGAAAATGTATGTAGCTATATCTATTTTCCTATAACGAACTGAAGTCGAGTGAATGTGGCGCGGTAGCATATAATTCAGGGACACCGTCTTAATTTAATTATCATAATCTCTGAAGCCTTGACATAGGAGCAAAACAGAGAATTGTACTAAAGGATGCATATGATGTACATATATATATGTATGAATGTAAAAGGCTACAACGTCCTATATTTGCTGCTTGTGTGCATATCCAATCGAAAAAAAACAAATGCCTAAATAACAACTATTTCATGAGTGTTTTTTGTGTTTCCTCCAATTAAGGAAAAAATACCTGTGTTATATTCATTATAGGAAGTTATAATCTTATTACGGTTTTGCTTTCATTAAAGCATTCCCACCGAAAACGAAAAATTTCGGTTATACATTATATAAAAATCACAATAAAAATATCAATGAAGTTAAAATTTTTTATTGCGTTTACTTTGGCTAATTTCCAGAAATATTTTTACGGGCTTTTAAAGTCCTTGAAGATCAAGGTTTTTTGGTGAAGGCAAGTAGTTCACCTGGCGTCCAAGGTTCCTTATTCTTGCTTCGCTCATGCGTCTGCCCGTCACTTTTACTCGCTTTGGAATGTTCGTAGACTGAAACGTTTTCTATTGCCATTGGTCCTTCCTTCGCAAGTTTGTCAGCGGCCTCGTTGCCATCGTTTAAGGTGGTAGACCCTGACATTTTTGAAAAATAGTTTTTTTTTTTGTTTTTTTTATGCCGATATCCTTACGGTCATTTTAAGACATTGGGCTTTCATTATTTGTGGATATTACAGCCATTAGAAGTGAGGGCTGACGGCTGACTCGAAACTACATTTTTTAAAACGCAGTACATGATTTCTTTAAAACTGCTGGACCGCTGGACAGCTTCTCTATAACGTTCTCTATGATATTACGTAGGATTTTTTCGATATGATTTTTCTTTTTAAATATAAGTTTTTAAAACCAGCACTCCCATTTGCTCAAAAAAATTTGTTTTCTAAAAACGGCTACGTCATGCTATAGCTGTACTTATATAGTTAATAAAAAAAATTTTGTTTTTGGGTTTCAGATAAAAAAAAGTGCTGTGCAGCATGTACGCCATACGACCATTCCCTAAAAAAGTGCATTTTTTTTTCTTCCAATAAGTATATTTTAGTTCAACTTATGTACTTTCATATTCCAATCAATAAAAAGTTGTATGCTTAATAACTTTGTCGAAATTAATTTTTTTAAATTAAAATTTTTTTTAATTTTCATACGTTTAGGGTGGTCTACCCCCTTAAAGGACGTATCTTAGATGCAATTTAAACAAATGCCTACTAAACAGAGGCTTCCTAGTTCTAATGTTTAATTTATCGTCGATTAACAAACCAATTACTGTTAACAGAGTGGTTTGCTATTTTTGGCAAAGTCGTGCCTTTGGTTTTATTTAAATCAAAACCGATTTGATCTCGAGTATGGAGATTCTGAAATATACATAATAATTTTCTATATGAACTTCTGTCATGTTCTCAATTCTTGTTTGCATACTCCTAAAATTTGGATTTTTTTTTTAATAAATAAGTAGTGAATCAACTACTAATGTTTGTTTCTGAATAAGCTTTTCAAGGTTGTTCTGGTTATCTAATAAGTTCCTCATATTTTCTTCTAATTGTTCTCTGTCATCTTTATCTATTGAAGTGGAGGGGGTAGCTTTAACTGTTGCCACACTCGATAAACAAAGGCACGAAATCTTTTCAGGATATTGCGCGACGTGCGTCGGATGTTAATTGGTTTGAAGGTAAATTAGAACTAATAACATGAAACTTAAATCTAGTTTAGGCGAGCGAACTTAAAGCTCTTTGGACTGATAGAAAGGGAGAGAGAGCGTCCGGACATTTCGAGGCTGGTAGCGGGATCACAATGCCTCTTAAAAAGAAGCGCCCTGTTGCCGCGAATATACTCTTTCCCCTTGCGAGTATACCGCAGCAAGAACATTAGGAACGACTAGCTCGGAAAAGCGTGGGATGCGGGAACGCTAATGTACATTTAGAAGAGTGTGGTGATCCTGTCCACACGACTGGCATCGGTCGCAACTGCGGCAAGATTCTTCGGAATGGTGGTGGGCCAGGCAGTTGACGCTGTAGTTGTTTTCGATGACTGCCTGGATCCGTTTCTCAGCACTAAGTTGCAATTCCATAGAGGATAATTTCCTTGGCAAACATGGCATGTCGCCGTTAGGCACCCAGTTATTGATGGCATAGGGTGAAGTAGTAGCTCACGTGGAGAACGAGGATATCCTTTGGATAGGTGCTGATACTATCCTTGAAGCATCGGTAGGAATCGGAACTTTGCTTGGATACCGCAAAATGTAATGCCGACGTGGCATATTGAACAGTTGTGGACGCTTGTGCAATCGTGGAGTCTATGACCTTTTGCAAACAATATGCACAACAGCTTTTTCTGAATGTGAGACAAACGATCGTCAATCGTCATCTGACGGAAGCTTGGACGTATACTCAAATCGCATAGGATTAAGGATTTTAAGTTGTAACTAAGTTGTAGCCACGTAAAAAATTTCGTTTTTATTTGGGATATTCTGCTACCCTAATGCAATCATCAGCTTTGGAAGTTTCTCAGTAGAAGGACCAGCTTCTTAAAAGCTGGCTAAGATTCGTTTATGTTCAATAACGTTATCAGCTGATTGTTCACCAGCGATCGTTTGTTTTCGAAACGCTCAGTTAGGTTTTCCCAGGCTGAGCGGAAACCATCATTGGAACCTATGGAACTAGAACAACTTTTCTACAGGTGTAAGCACAGGATTGTCTATATAGACAGCTAAACAGCGAAGGTAATCGCCCGAGAAAACTTCCGTATCGCACGGAGGAAGCCGACACCCAGACGGAAAGGAATTGAACTGAAATTAGCTTCGAAAAAGCTTCGTGCTCTTTCTCCCATAGTGCTCGGTAAAGATGAAGATGGTAAAGATGAGTTTTGCACGTATACTGAGGTGGAATGGGCGCTCTTGGATTGCAGAATTTTGATTCGAACTGGTTGAGACTGTCAGAGGTAAAATAAATTTATTATTTTAAATTTATATATTCGAAATGGTTTATAAGTGTCGAAGCTGGATTTGAAATTTTAGAACCAATTGGAATCGTAGTATACCTATAAAAAACATAATAATTATTTGACAATAATTTTAGACTTATTTGAAATCCTTTGATTTTATCTTTGGAACACCACGAAAAATTCGTTGTAATTGTGTAAAAAATCCCGCCAAATCTTACTAGACTAGCTATAAAATAGGTAACGAGTGTGGCAGTAATTGGGTGCTAATAATTTTTAGTTATTCGGCTAAATTAAAATTTGTATTTTGGATTTAATTTTTTAAAGTGTCTCGTCGGCACTGTGTCACCGTTCTTTGCCAGTTAGGAAAAAATTTGACTACTTCGCCGATTCTTGGGAACTTTTAATAGCGCAAAATTTGCTTAGTATTTGTATATTAAGCTGAGGAGTTCGCTAATTGGCGCAGAATACCACGAAGCTTTCCAAATGTATGTTTGTTCCCTGCAGTACCGCGTGTCATCAATAGGTAGTCTAGACGGCAGTCGTCGGCAGTACCATGGCCTGGCCGTTGACAAATTTGTTGATGAAACATCGATGAATTGATGATGAATTGTTGATGAATCATCGATTAATTGTTGATGAATTTTTATTGATGGCGGCCTAGGACATGCCCATGTTAAATAAATCAACAGTTTGTATGGCCTGTCATCGATGAAAAATCAACATCACCCCCTTGACTGTTGATGAAACGTTGATGAATTTCTGCAGGGTGCAAGCGGAACACAGTTAATACACGTAAGGGAATTATAACCCTGTAGTACCGTACTGCAGTACTGCAGTAGAAGCGAACTTAGTTTCGCATAACATCACTGTATGACTGGCAGCAGTAATGTAAATATTATTTATCTTGCGGTGTTAAAGCCACCGGAGATAGTGGAAACAGAGTTATCCGGCTCTGTACGGGACGGTTTTAACTGTTGCTACACTCGATTATCAAAAACACGGAAACTCTTTGGGATATTGCGCAACGTGCGCCGGATGTTAGGTTTAAAGGTGACTTGAAATTAAACTCAAAACTAGCTTGGGCGGGCTGATTTAGAAAATATGCGTCTTTTTGGCGAAAACATTCTTTATTTCAAGTAAAATATGGTACACTGAACCCATAAATTCGAACGAGACACGCTTGCGTCTGGATCTAGGCTGCATCAATTTATTGTTTTCTTCTAGTTCCGATAACTGACTTTGAATATTATCTAAAACCAGACTACATTGATTTTCAAAGCTATGAAGCCTTTCGTAAACTTTTCTCATCCCCCCATAAGCGCGTTACCTTTTGTAATCATGCTAAAATATGGTAGGTAGGTTAAAGTCCTGAGGCCCGATACTAGGGCCTCCAATTAGAGCTAAGCTCCTTTTGTTCCACTCCCTCTGTTTGTTGTTGTTGTTCACTATCAGTACCAGCCAGAGTCAGTAAGGAAACCTAGGATTGCCGAAACTTTCAGCTTTCCTATACTTCCCAGTGACTCCATCTGGTAGGCACCAAAGTGGCGAAGTCTGATGTGGTTCAGCGCTGGGCAGAAGCAAAGCAGATGTTCCGGTGTCTCTTGCTCAGTAGGTTGCTTAAAGCTTCTACAGATTGCATTGCATGGCAGTCCCAACTTCATGGCGTGCAAACCGATCGCCCAATGTACCGTGGTGACTGCCGTGATCCAGCTGATATCCCGTTTGCTGTTGGATGACAGTTCACTGGATCGATTTTTGTCATACGTCAGCCAACATTCTTTTGACCTTCTGTGCTGGCTCTTACTTAGCCATTCTTTGTTAGCTATCTGCTTGAAGTAGTCATGGATCCTTGTCTGGATCGCGTTTAGAGAGATCCGTAATTCGAAGTCTGAACTTAGCCCTGTCGATCCTGCACGGGCTAGTTCGTCTGCCTTCTCATTTCTTCGGATCTCGTTGTGTCCCGGTACCCATGTTACTTGTACCTGTATTTTGTACTTGTACTTGTACTTGTATTTTTGTCAGTATGAGGTCGAAAATGCGTTCCCAAATTTTATTTCCGCGATCATGTAGTCGTTCTTAACGTTAGTATTTATGTCGCTGCTCCCAAGAATCTTGCCGTGCC